AACAGATAAATGCAAACAATTTCATTCATCATCTGTATTGCTGGTATTTCCTATGGGTGAATTATTATTTTACATGAAAATATACGATTGTTGTTTATTTTTGAACAAAATAAAATCTTTGACGAATAGTTTTCATCATAATAATAGGTTCAGTAATATTCAACAATCAAAAAAATACCTATAACCAGGATTTGTTCAATTTGAAAATTGATGAATTCAATTGTTTGCTATTCTTATGATTGTTGTTGATTTCAACAATCACTCAAATTCAGGAATTTCTATATATATACATATAACAAACAGTTTGATTCTTCTATCCATTCAGTTGTACAATTTCGAAGGTATGTAGTTTTTGATTGATAAATTGAAATGTTACAAGAATTCAAACGATTAATGATATTTTTGCAACAATCGTTTTAAATAGACGAACGATTGGAAACGATTGTTGTGAAACAAAACATCAAACAATTTTATTCATTACTGAAATATGAACAACAAAGTATAAAATTATCTGTTCACAATATTAAAACCATTTTCATTCACATTACACAATCATTCGATTGACGAATACATGAATTTTCATGATCGATGCTGATTTGATGTGTGTCTTAGGAATTATAGGTATTCAAATGTTTAATACTTTTAATTGCACAGAAAATGAAGATGAAACATTTTAAATGAGTGATTTGTAATTTAAAACGAATAGGTGATGAAAAGTAAAACAGTAAATCGGCGTTCCATAATTATCAGTGACACCATATTGAAATATATTGAACGCGGAGATTCAACCAAGATTACTACGAGAACAAATGCACTCAGGCACTAGGTAGTTTCAAATTGGAATAGTGAACATTTAGAAACGTATTATCAAGTGTTTACAAGGCATAGATATAATTTCATACTGAGCAATATTATCACTCGAATGAACTCGTATCAGAATTGGTTATGGCGACACTTGGAGAACAGATGAGAACAGCGTAAGGAGATTAACAAAAGTTTGGAAAGAGCAATAAACGATGTTGGAGGTCAAGTCATCTGCAGAGTTTGGCCTAATCTTGATTAAATTAATGCCAGATGATTAATGAGAAAAATCGATTAGCTTGAAATCATTTGGAATATCAAAATCCTTCTTCTGCACTTGAGTTTGAGTAATCTCCGAGGTTGATTCAAACTGATTTTGATAAGATGATTGATGACAAAATGTCATCAGGTTAAGAATTATACCGGGTGTCCCAGATATTCCCGTATACAGCCAATATCTGAGTTATGCTGCTTGGAAAAAACAGCAAAATATGCCGACGACAGACGACTCATGAGAGCAGGAATGCCTCAAGGAGCAGTACTTAGACCACATCTCTATTCCATATACACCTTGAACATTCAAAACAACAATAGACATTGCACCATGTCATTGTATGTGAACAATATTGCAATAGCAGCCAGATTCTAAAATTCAGAACTTGTTACCAGATAATTGTAAAGCAAAATCGGCGAACCTGAAGTATGGTGTATCAAATGGAATACACTTGTGTATTGTAATACAGTGTGTCTCACTTTTGATGGAAACATTCCTGTATCTTACGTAATCGTTGGGTGAGGATCCCTAAATTTGCAGGAGCGAGAGATATACCCAAAATACACTGTATGACCAAGTGGAATTATCTTCAGTGATCTACACTGTTCACCTACAGCCATGGAACTACCCCAATTACCGGAAAATGATATTAGGAGTCAAAATAGGTTGAAAATCATTTCGAATTCAGAACCAGGACACTCAATTCTCTAACTATTCATAGTTCTCCTGAGAAATTTCCAGTTCTGAAAGATGCATTTTTGTCTCACTTTCCATGAAAACACCCTCGTGTCTTACGTTTTCCTTGGGTTGAGATCCTGAAGTTTGCTGGAGCGAGAGATATACCAAAAAAGTACTCTATGACCAAGTGGAGTCATCTTCAGTGATATAAACTGCTCGCCAACAGCCATGGATTCGAAAACAGTCTTATTCACTGACTTAACATATTTTGACGCATTATTATCGGTAACGATTTTCTTCCTAGTATTAACGAATGACACCCGAAATGATTTCTGATTCATTGCATCACTCCTGATAATCAATTCGATTGAACTAGTTCTGATTGTTAATTCATTATTCCTGATGGGAATTGACTTTCACAACTGAAAAATTTTCAGAAGGAATATGAGTACTTAGTGAATTAGACGTTTTCTGTTCTCGAATCCGCAGTGATTTCCAACTTATCTTGTCTGATAATATGATGTTCCGGACATGTCCCAGCAAACATCTTGGTATGGGGCATCAATGGCCTAGTATATTTTTCCCATACCTGACATCAGCGGCCCAGTAAATGGTCCCATATGCGGGACTCTATATATCAGTACACTGCGGCCGGCAGTTGGTCCCAGTGCTGGGTACCTAGCAATCATATTCAGTTTCCCGGCAAAAGGCCAGTACAACATAATCGACACATTGAGTTTCCCATAGCAAGCCCAGCATATACATGAATGATGGGACTGTAATGGCCAATTAACGACATTGGTTACATACTATCGAGGTAGGGGAGGGGTAGGGGTTTTAGGGGTGCAATGGATCTGAAAGTTCTAGTGCCTCTTCATTTCACAACATAACCCTCTCATCATAAATAAGACACATACCAGATTTCAAGAAAACAATTTTATGAATGACACAATGATATCTTCTTAACCTCTCTGTCCTTCAACGATGAAACTTCTCGGAGTGACTGCTTACTGGTTGGTGTGTGGTATCTACATCTTATTGGGTAGCATTCCTTCGAAGTGGATTCTTTGTTGTGAGGTACTTCTGGAATATAAAATGCATCATTTGTTTTATATTAGTGGCTTATGAATTGCATGAGTTTTTCAATTCTCATTATGGTGTTGGCACAGGTAATGCTGTAGCTGAAATCTTATTGTTATCCAGTTATTCAATATAGAGATAGGTTCACATAACCTGAGATTGCTTTTGATAGCAACAAACGAGTTAAAAATGATGGTTGCTCACGAGATACCAAACACATGCATCAAATAATGACATTCAAAACACTATGTAGGGTAGGTACATTGATACTTACTCATTATTATCATAATTGAAGAATCTGTCTTCTATTATTATCAATTGAGAATACTCCTGCCATCATAAATAACCACCACGGAAAGAGAGGACCACATTAATTCGACATAAACAAACTAGTACGCGATCACCACTCACGAGAGTCAGCCATCTTAGTCACATATGATATTGATCAGCTGATTGTAGAAGTAGACGTTCCCAAAACATCCGCCAGGGGGACGGGTAGTGAATATGAAATTGGCCAGCAAAGGGCCAGATCTCGTTAGTATTCAATTAGTTCCAGACATCTTACCATCACAAGGCCATCATCGTATTTTCAACTGATGGTTACTTGGCATGGGAAAATTATCGGCCCATTACCTATACCCCGGCATCGTCACTTTCCCAGACTAACCTGCACTAGGCCGGACTTCTGCCGCTAGTTCAATGTTTGCTGGGGTAGGTGGTTCCATGGCTGCTAGCAAGCAGTGTATATCACTGATGGTAATTTCAATTGATCATTGACTGAATCTTTGGAATATTCCTTGCTCCAGTAAATTTAACAATCCTAACTCGATAAATACGTAAGATAAGGGAGTGTTTTCATGAAAAGTGAGACAAAAATAAATTTTTCAGAACTGAAAAATGATCAGTTATATAGTTAGTGAATTCGGTGTCCTGCTCCTGGATCCGAAAAGATTTTCAACCTATTTTGACTCCTCATATCATTTTCCGGAAACTGATGTGGTTCCATGGCTGTTGGCGAGCAGTGTAAATCACTGAAGATGACCCCACTTGGTCATAGAGTGCATATCTCTCGCTTCTGAAAATTTCAGGATCCTTACCTTTACCACCGATACAACAGTACAGTGCTGTGCTCGTCCGATCGAATACAGGGAAATCGTGCGTATATAATGTGTATAGTAGAGGTGGGAGGCAAGATCCTTGCGGAACACCTGCCGCGAGTGGAAAATCTCCCGATATACTCTCGTTGACCTTGACCCGGATTTTCCTGTTGGTAATATATGCATCGAAAATTTTAATGATAAAAATCGGCACTCTTGCCTTGTTATTCTATGAGCATTTTCTGACAACATTTACCCTAGCATTGTATATATTCTTCACACCATCAGGAAGTAGATATTTCAACGAACAAAAAGCCCACCGACTCCGAGAGGATGTAATCCAATGTCTACAATTTTCGTTCATTTTATGAACTATTGTAGTAATGACTTTGAGTTTCTCTCTCTTTGTGATTTCAATATTATTTGTTTCTCAATAAGGGACCAACACAAGTAATTTCCATGTTTTGTTTGACTGGAAGCTTGAACTGTTTTAGTGAGTCTCTTTATTTCATCCTTACACAATATGGATTTGCTGTGTTATTGACAAATTCCCTCTGGGCCTTCTCATACACCGGGTTTCTATATGAAAATTTTGGGTGATATTTGATTTTCCTACCCCAGATATGAATAACTTAGAGTCACTGGATGGAATTAGTTACTAATACCACTGTGCTAATACCATCTAGTGACTCTAGAATAACGCATCTGTGCCTCTTTAAATATTCTTTTATTGGATCTTATTGTATAATTACCTGATAAATAGCTCTTGCACAAACTCTAGGATACCCAGTATAACGAACATAAGCAAGCCGAAATAAGGAACGACCTATTTAAAATATGAGCCCGCAGACTACCAAAGGCCCCTGGCTAGTCAGCCCCTGGTTTTACTTAATAATCACTACTCTTTGCATAGCCCTCTTTGGTATGGGAAGATAAAGTTTTATCAGAATTGCAATCTTCTCGATGGAATGTTTCGATCATTTCCGGCACAATTGCAATAATGGTTACCAAGTGATTATTCTTGATTCACAAATCACATACATTTGATGTTCATCCACATTCACAATCAAATGTTTCATTTGTTCAGAGAAATGATTCCAAATTATGAAGTATACCTTCTTATACAAATACTAAGTCTAAGTGCTCACTTCGTGGTTGGACAAGAGATTGGTAAGTTTCAAAGTCTTATAGTTCTTGTGAAAGAATTCCTAATGATATTGAATTTGAATTGTGAGTTATTTCTGTATTTGAATCATTCGGCTATCAGATATACGGGGTGATTTTCCAAGGTGGCTCAGAGGTATCAGAACGAAATTAGATGGTTTTGAATTATAAGAGCTCAATTGACATTTCTTCACATATCTATACTTGCTTCACCCTACTGCCAGTTTGACCGGTAATGACCCCGACTTTCGATTTCTAAATGGGACACTACGTATTTTATTCCATAATCGGTTAGGGATTATTTCATAACCAATTCGACGATACCGTGTTTGATAGGGTTATTTCAAACGATTACGAAGATATCTGCGCATTCGAAATATCCATATGCTATTACTGTGATAGAGAAAGTAGTTTCGATATTGCGCCATCACGCTCGCCCTATTTCCGTAATCATGCGGAATAAGTCACTTTCCACACTGGTTATGTAATATATATATATATATGGGTACTATTTCTAATTTTCACTTGTAATGTGACCCTTTTCAAAACTGGCGGAAGTTTTGAAACATCGTACTAGTAACGTAATAGCCCAGTCAACACACGGACATTCGATGGACATCCATTGGACGTCCATTTAGGATATTTGGGATATCCAGAGAATATCCAGTGATATCCGATGTATATCTTATGGACGTCCAATGGACGTGCCGAGTGGAAGGAGTTGGACTTCTATAGGATATCCTTCAGGGACATCCATAAGACATTTTTCAGGGATATCCATAAGATATTGTTCACAAATATCCATGAGATATTTTTCAGGGATATTTACTAAATATCCTTAACAATATAGAACACCATGTATATTATGTTAGTTATGGAAAAATGAAAGCAAAATATAAATAGTTGATTAAAAAACTCGCGAAAACACACAACTACAACCGAAGTAACCACTGGAGCACTGAGAAAAAAACTGAGAATATCCGCAAATTTACCGGGAAAGATGAAGAAAAACCATATGAGAAAAACTATAAAACTAACAAAGTTAGGTTAAGAAGCTTTAGCTCATAAACATTGAACAACAGAGAAAAATTCCAAACTGTGGTGTTGTTATTTATATGAATTCATATTTGCATCGGATATCTTAATTGTGGCTATAAACATATTATACCTACATAACAATAGTTATATAATGGAAAACTACCTTTAAACATGTAATTTGCATGTGATATTTGTGATGATTCGTATTGTTTTGAACCATTCTCAATTAACAATTTTTGTTCGCTAAACGAACATCTTATGGACGTCCATAGGTGATCAGCATCAGAATATCCATTTGATATCCTCTGACGGATATCCTATGGATATCCATTTCATGTCCCAGGATATCCCGACCTGAAATGGACTTGAGAAGGATATCCATAGGATATCCTGTGTTATCTGGGAGTATATTACATAACAAGAGTTGTAAAACGCATATTACGCACGAAGTGGAGAGAGTTACACACGATGCCGCATAACGGCGAGTGTGTAACTCCACAAGTGCGTAATTGCTTTAGAACTCGAGAATTGTACTTTACTTTTTCTACGACTACACTATATTTTCTTCCGGATAGTGCAGATATTGTATTAAGGCACAAATAACGAATACCAATATAAAACGTCTCCCGTCACTAAGCCAGCTGCATGAAAAGTTACAAATCAATCAATCAAAGCATGAGAGATTCTGTAATCATTATTAAAAATAATAAAAAAAAGTTCTCCAACTAACTGCGCTCTGAACCACCGCCCTCTGGGTTCGGAGCCAGCGCTTCCAACAACTAAGCTATTCTCCGTATTAGTAGATATTTTATAACTATAATTTCGAAGATTGATCTCTTTTAATTATTCCTGTTATTTGAAGAAAAAGGAATTCATCAATTCAATGTTGAGTATGTATGTTGAAAAATTACCTTCAACAGGAGCATTCTGCAGAAAATAATTGATCTGTTCAGCATCAACTATTTTTGATTTTTTACTTCGGAATCCATCTTTCCCTTTTGAGGAAATGGGATATGTTGCTATATTACCTAATATTGTGATCGTAACAAGGAATATATCGACCAGAGTGATGATGATTTCATCGAATTTGATAATTCTTGAAATTATACTAAAAGGATATTTTCCGAAATTGACACGGTATTATTTCTAATTCTCAAGTCCAGGAATTTTTTATGTGCTATTTCGTATCATTAGAGACTTAGTGGGTAGCAACTCATTTTTTACCATTCTAGCTTTTCCCAACATTTCTGGTGGTGTGGAAATAATCTGCTCATCGTCATCGCTTGACATCATTTTTTTTAAACTGAAATTGAGAATTATCAATAGAAAATAATCATATTCTCAAAAAATATAACCTACCTGATGCTTTCGGTTTCGGTGGATAGCTGGATTGATTGATAAAAAGATAAGTACCTACCCACCTAGCTAATGACATTAATGAAATTGTTAATTGTTATTGACACATCGCCTAATCAACAAAACAAAGTCATCATATCAACATACCTATGAAAATCGTGCGATCGCTCTCTTTACGCACACGTGTGTAAGGAGAAACTGCCATTGTTTTGTTTACAATATCCATCACTTACAGTAGTAGTCGTAGGAAAAGTAAAATATTACAGAGCTGATTTGTGATTTGTGACCATATTATTGTTTGACAGATACTTCAAAGTAACTGATGAAGTCAACTTGCCTTCAAAATTCTGTACAATATACACTCAATATCTCGAAAACTAATCAAGATATTGGAAACTTCAAAACAAAATATTGAATCATATAGTAGAGGATCCGAAGTAAGGTCGACCTTTACCCATCTGTTTAATGGATGAAAATTATTTTTTCCACTCACATAACTAAAATGGCATTTAGCGTACGGATATGTACGACGCTAAATGATTCGATTAATCACGGATTAATTAATCAGTGGCCAGCGTAGCCTCGTGATTAAAGCGTCAAGGTTCTATCAACGTTGGATTGCCGGTAGGTGAGTTCGATTCCCACCACGCCGCAGAAATTTTTCTGATGGCCTAAGAAAGTGTTTGGGATCACCCGTTAAAAGGTAAGACCCCCGTCATTCCTTGCTCGCACAAGTCTCTTGAAGACTTCTGAGGGTTGCTCGTAAGGGGGCAACCGAATGATGGATAAGAACAATTTGAGAACAATTTTTTTAGTCATCTCGCTCAAGGAATTCGAGAATTCTATTACCACTCCTGAGAATGTTCTGAAAAAATGTCAGGGGGTGCGGGTGGTTTCAACCTTTCTACAATTTCTTTCGGGTTTCTCTTACTACTGAAAGAAGGGTTAGCCTCTTGAATACACTTTTGTCAAATTTCATCTTATTTGAATCACTCATTTTTGAACCGGACAAACGGTACATTTTTTTATATAAATGAGTTGGGTCCAATCAACCCATTTTGAACTGTATTACACGTGGTAGCTCAGTGTTCCAGCAACTTTAGTACACCCCTATTTCGAGTGATAATTACATCATCTTGAATTTCAGAATGTATCAAGGGGGAAACATGGTTTGAAAGGTGTAAGAAGTGCGAATGTTTGGGTAATCATAGATATGGTTGCAGGTGGCATCTTCCTAGTTGCAATATTGGTGAGTAGTATACCCACAAATACTTACTAACATACTCATATACTTCATTATGTCCATAAAGTGGACAGACAGGAGTAGAGTCCTGTTTACCTGATTTAATCCTCTTCTCAAAAATGGTTTTCTACGAGTAGGGTCCCGAGATCTTAGAAAGGAGACAACTTTCTTTAAACAATCCAACCTCACTTGGCCTAAATGAACCATTTTCATAGAGAGTATATTTTTCGGAAGGAGACTACTGGTTCTTTCATGGGACTCCAATCGTACCCATACCGGGAATCTAATCATAGTACTCGTACTCAGTATTCAAGGTAATGAACAGGATCCTACTCGTATTCTCCGCATAAAATAACCCTACCCTCCACCCTCCATACTTACCTTTGAACGGTTGTAAGTATTTTTATTTTATTTTTTGCTTCGATGGCAGTAAAGTACGATGGGCGAGTGGACTTATAATGAATTATTGGCATTCTATCACTACACTGTGTCGTTAGGGACCTAAATTAATTTTTGCAACACTTATCACACTTTTTTATACAGGGTGACCCAGGGTTAAACCGCCAAACGTTCAGGATCAGTTTTTTAGGCAAAAATAAGACTCCTTCTTTCCATAAGCATGTTTCCTAACTTGCTTCATTTAAGAGATATAGGGTGTCAAAGTTTTTAGAAAAAATCAGTTTTTCATTAATTACTCAAAAACCTTTTTGCTGATTTTGTTGAAACTGGGCATGCTCATTTGAGGTAATAAGGGGTTCCTGTTTACTGTTCACCTAGAATAAAATCAGTATTTCCAATAGCGTCCCAGAGGGTAATCTATCTAATATTAGTATAAATCATTGTACGCCACTGTTTTATTCGTATGTTTATTTCTTAAATTAAACTTTCAAAAATACATTTTTTTGTCATCGATTCTTTTTGTATACATTGGTTTTTTTGAAAAAATTCAATAGCGCTTTTGTATAAAGCTGCGAGAAAATTACATTTCACGGAAAACGTGGCGTACAATGATTTATCCTAATATTAGATAGATTACCCTCTGGGACGCTACTGGAAATAATAATTTCATCCTAAGCAAATAGTTCACAGGAGCCCCTTATTACCTCAAATGAACATACCAAGTTTTATCAAAATCAGCCCAAAAGTTTTTGATTAATTAATGAAGAACTGATTCTTTATCAAAACTTTGACACCCTATATCTCTAAAATGAAGCAAGTTAGGATACATGCTTATAGGAAGAAAACGTTTTATTTTTGCCTCAAAAACTGATCCTAAACGTTTCGCGGTTCAACCCTGGGTCACCCTGTATATATATTGGATCTTTCTTTTATTTTATTCAGACCAGGGAGGAGTCCCTCTTATCCTGATATCTATTATGGAACAAAATAAAAACGGTATTGAAGTTTGATGCGAACAGCCCTTCTGCCCCAAATAAGTTTCATTCATTCTAAGAATTGAAAGAGATCGAACAGAAAAAATAAATATCAAAAACTTGAGAATAGTAAATTTGGTCATAATGTCGATATTTCCTCCAGTTTATGGACAATCTCGGTCTTTTGAACTTCGATTGATCACCTGGGTCATAATCAACTGCATTTCGAAGAAGCTGATTCTTATGAACCTCAGCTTTTTCGAAAGTCTAGATGTTTCGTTCTTTAATGACTGACACGATTGAAGGGAGTTTCAGATCCCTGGCGATCGGGTTATTCCGAACATACCAAGGAGATCCTGTCACCATTCTCGCGACTTTGTTTTGTAATGTTTGTAATCTGGTGATATGAGATTTGGCGGTTTAACCCTGGGTCACCCTGTATAAATTATGAGTGTATGCGTTGTTCGAAATTGTTGACTTTCGGAGCTCATGTCAAACGTACCGGCATGGCCACTATTTGGCGATACGTCGAATAAATAGTGACGTCAGCTTTTGTGCTGTTCTGTTATTGGTCAGATAATCTTCCATTATCACTCACGAAGCAAGGTTGTCAAGTCACCAATTATAATCAAGTTATCAAAAAGATGTAAGAGACATGTCGTTGAATAAAACATAAAAGGAAGAATTCATGATATTAAAGTTCATTTTAATACTCCATAACAAAATTTCATGTAAATGTTCGAGACTTGGCAACATTGTACTGAATGCTGAGAAGGGACAAGACCACGCCCACAAGTCGTGCGCGTGGTGTTGTCACGTTCACCGCTTCAAATGTCCTCTAGTGTGAATTAATATGATTACTATTTACACAAATGTATTATAATGTTTGAATAACTAATATTTCTGATGTAAAAACTCCACAAACGATAAGATTTCCACAAAATTCTCAAACACACGACATGTTTCGCTAACACAGTAGCATCGTCAGGTGATATACTGGTACAATGAACTAAAGAAACGTTGGCTTGCTTAACTTTTATGTATCTCACTTTCCCAACCTGAAGGATTAGTTACCTGTGGACAAGTACGATAAACCTCCATTTTCGGAAATTAGGCAAGAATAATAAAGACAAAACTTCTAAATTCGAAAAATCAGGGGTATACAAACTCAAATATGGATCTTGTCCTAAGGTATATATCGGTCAGACAGGTCGTACGTTTAATCAGCGCATTCATTAACATAAGATGAATTTTATGAAAAAGAAAACAAATTAAAAATACGCCAACCATATGTAGAAGAAAACCATAGTTTTGATGATAATTTCGAAATTCTACACGTAGAAAATTAAGGACTGAAACTCAACCATTTTGAATCATTAGAAACCAACAAAGTCAAAAATTTTGACATTTTACTTAATGATCAATCAGACCTCAATAGTTCATCACTGTTGAATTCGTTTTCTCAGTAAGTAATAATATGTATTTGCTATCAACTCTTTCAAGTTAATCCGGTATACCGTAATTTAATGTGGATATTGTGCCTAATTTCCGAAAATGGAGGTTTATCGTACCTGTCCACAGGTAACTAATCCTTCAGGTTGGGAAAGTAAGATATATAAAAGTTAAGCAACACTAGTGCGGGAAAAAATTCCCGCACTAGTGTGGGAAAAGTTTTCCCGCAATTAATGTAAAATAGGTATGTGTTAATTTTGACTTCAAATGGTGTTTGTAGAAAAGATAGTGCATAATATACCTGATGCGAAAAATGATCTAATTTTGTTTAAAGGGATGGAACACTACGAATTCGGTGTCGTGTCCCAAACTTTCCTTCTCACAAAATGAAATATGACTTTTGGCACTTATATATATCACAAATAACTATTTCACCATCAATAAAGTTCCCTTTAATTTTCCGTTCATTATAATCAGTCCTAATCTTTTTTTTTCAGGAACCCTTCGGAAAGGCGTCTTCGTATTTGAATCAAATCGAAGATGCCATTATTCAATAGAACTACAAACGACTATTTGTGTCGACATGAGTTTTCAAAAAAGTAAGAGGTGTGATAAGTACTTTGACCATGCTTTTTCTCAATCATTCATATATTGAGAGGTTGCCATAGATAATCGTCGCACAGATTCCTATACTTCCTCCATATCTGAGATGACTTTAACAACTTCATAGATACGTTACCTACTCAATACATATTTTTAGAAAATTCAATTCAATTCCAGATCTCAACGGAAATCCTTGCTCAGCAGATATTTATCTTCACGATAGTTGTTCTTTTTGCCGGTGTGAAAAATCGACGAAAACTTATGAATGTAAATCAATCGATAAGTGCTCAGCAACTAATGGTGAGTAAATCAACACTTTGATGTTACATTCTAACATTTTTCTCATGATGGATGATGCTCAATCTAACCCTAATCTATCAGTCCGCGGGACAGGACTACTTTTCAAAAGGTGCTCTTTACTCTCTCATATATAACTCCAGACGCATATTTACAGATGCTATAGCGTATGTTCATACAGTATACATTTTACAAATGCTAAGAGTTTTGGTAAAGTTGGCCTCAGGGTCTATGACGAGAAAGAATTGCCGCATATATACAAAGGGCAACCAAACAGAATTTAGAGACTCCAGTGCAATTTTTTTTACATGGAATGCCATGTATACTAAAAGTACTTCAAAATATTTGGGTTAAACATCGATACCTTGTTACATCATTACTAAAAGAGTGTCAATTCAACAGCTGAAATTGAGATGTTTATAATTCCCCTGGTGTCGTGCCCAATATTCATTTGTTTCGTCAGACTAGCTCTCGATATGAACAATTGAATGCGAGTTCGGAACGTGGGATTCTCATATTCGATGATAGATGGCGTGAAGGATTGATAATTTCTTAGAAAATCTCAAAATGCGTTACGAATCTAGACTTTCAAGGATGTGTTTTTCTTCTTCCGGGACGTGAAGAGTCCCGTTGATGATGCACGAATTCAATATGAGAAGCATCTAGAGATTGGACGCAGAAGAGACAGGGCGCAACAAATAATCTGTGCAGAAACATCTAGATCGTGATCGTGATCTTGATCCATTGATCGTGATTCTATATATCTGTCACAAGTCACGGCATATTCATAATTTTGTTAAAATTCCAAATAGATACAAAATTTTTATGAATGGCAATTTGAAGAAACATTAGTAGTATATTAAGCAGGTACTGATATTCATTAGGTAGTTGAGTGAGTGGATTGTGCCTTTATCATGGACTGATCATGCTGCGATGTGTGAGGATTATTTGAAAATCCGAACATTCGTTTCATTTCATGTATCAAAAGTGAGTGAACTATTATCACAGAACTTTCTTGAGTTAGGACTTCGTGTCGTTCGTTCATGAATTCAATACTGAAAGTCGAAAATAAAACGCATCGTTTCCACTTGAATAAATGTATCATGTTGCATGTATACATTTGGTTTGAAACTTCGGCAATTCAGCAAGATTCTTCCACGCCTCGCTATTTTTACAAAGTAGGCGATATCCAGAGATTTCGAAACTCCTTTCAATAAGAAGAGATAACACCATCTCTCTATACAGACTTTCTATACATCTATGCTGAAATAATCCGACCGCAAATAAGCGGGAGGAATACGTTAAACTGACTCACTCACTTTCTGATATATTTTTTTTGGGATACTACTCAAACTTATGATTTTTTTCTAATAGAACACCCTGTATTCTGGAAGCTCAGTGAATTCTATATTTTTCTCCCTTCAAAATGATATACATATAGTGTTTGAATATATAAATTGTTCAAAAATGCAGCAAAAGCACTAAAATATTGAATTTTAATAGAAGGCTATGCATTTTTTATATGAAAGAGTTCCAATTGAAGGAATATTTGAATTACAAAATTATTCAGTAACTTATTTATTGAATTGTTCAAATTGGTGTCCATTTTCCCTAATACGCAATTGACACCTTTTCTTGATACGTCTTTTTATTTTTATTATTATTTATTTATTCAAGTTAACACTTCGAAATTCTACGACTTTCCAAGTGGATAAAAAAACTCTAGAAGAATCCCAATCCCGTTCAATCCCAAGTATACGAAGGGACTTGATAAGGTTTTCAAAGACTTATGTTTTGAAACCGTTTATCAGTCTGGGTCAAAATTAGGCAATTTATCAGGCAATCCGGAAGATAAAGTGGACACACTTGAAAAGTCGGGAATATACGAAATAAGTTGTAATGATTGTGATAAAACATATATAGGCCAAACCAGGCGACACATAAAAACAAGGTTCGAGGAACACATAGCCCATTTGAAATATGGCAGGTTAAATAAATCTTGTGTAGCCCAACATATGTTCAATCACAATAATTACACACATATTACTAACCTCAAATTAGTTAAGCAAGTTATAGAAAGCTTAGAGTTATTTAAGAATAGTAATAGAGTAATGAATAAGAATAATGGACCTATTCCATATAGCCCTCTATATAGTTTAGTAATATAAAAATGAAGATTAACATAATATGTGAACTCAACCATGACAAACATTAACTTGACGGTTAGTATTTTTCACGGTTACCTAGTATCAATATTGCAGATGCTAACATAGTTAGAAAAAATCGGTTTGGTTAGTGGTAAAACAGTGTAGTGTTAATACGTCTCAATACAGTGAGGCACAACAATCTTGAAAAACTTTGTGCAACAACAGACGCAGTTTTCCAGGAATTACGAAGACATCATTCAATAATTTCGAATAAATTAAGACGTATTGAGAATGTGTACGAGGGAAAATGGACATCAATTCTAATAATTCAATGAATGAGTTTCTGAATAATTCCGAAATTCGATTGTTCAAGTGAATATTTAACAGACTTGTGTAGTATTCGAATACCCAGTATTCTGAATCCTATTCTGAATACATTTGGCTGGTATTCGAATACTATTCGAATACATTTGTGTATTTGGTATTCGGTATTCGACTGAATACTTTTTTGGTCAGTATTCGGTATTCTGGATTCTGAATACCGTTTTTGAATCTCAGTATTCAGTTACTCACTTTGTATTCGAATCCCGGTATTCGAATCCTGTTTTCGGATACTTTTGATTATTTCTATGAATATTGCACTACGCTTAAACGGAGCCGTCGCTTTATATTATTGGTGGATCATATATATTTTATTAGTTCCTATGTTTTATTTGTAATGGAATGAATTTTATTTCAAGTTTTATTCATTATTTGAGATTATTTTCCATTATTATCTTGCTGAACAATTATTTTGTGTTACCTTAACCTCATTGTGGCACTTTGGATCAAGAAAATATTTATGAAGTTTTATTTAATATATTTTCTATTTTTTTTTATATATTTTTATAAATTAACTACATACATTAATATAAACGAGCTTTATGTGCGCAAATGTTTTTTTTTTTAGTTGGAATATTCATAAAATATTCATATGTGAATGAATCCAGGTATTCGAATACATCAGTATTCGAATACTTTTTTTCTTTGTATTCGAATCTTGAGTATTCGAATACAATTTAGAGTACAGTATTCAGGATTCGTATTCGAATACCGGATTTCAGTATTCGACCCAAGTCTGATATTTAATCAGGTGCTTATTCTACATTATGAACTTTTTATTACCATTCATTTGTTGCTATCAGGTAACTTAGTTTTGTGTTCTGTTAGTTAATTAATTAGTGTTGGTATTATTTTTGTCCACTACATGGAAAAATCCAAAGAAATATTCCTCAAATTGAATTTTTTTTATATGAAATATCCAAAGCCACTATATTAAAATACAATGTTTCAGTGATTTTGGTGCGTTCTTGAAAATTTTAAAGTTATACATTATATATGATTTGGATGGGGAAAATATGAGGAATTCATGTTCCATTAAAACATCATAAGTTTGAGTCGTATCTCCAAAACCATACCCGGAAAAAAAATTGTTATTGTGCCACTGGATTCTCTGTAAAATTCTATATGGGATAAGATGCCAATTTGGCATTTTCGCTGAGAAACTTTTCAAAATCGCCCTGTCTCTCATAAACGGAAACACCTATGCAAAAGCTGATAAGACTATCTGAGTTTTTCAAAAAACTGGCACAGGACCGCGAAAACCTCAAGGTTCTATCTCCAAAGATAACTGAGATATCACGCGAAAGCATTGAAAACGGGACACACTGTACATTATAAAGAGGTTCGAGTGAGAAAGAATGAATGAAACATAATAGAAAAATCAATGAGGTTCAATACGATTATCCCAACAGGTCCATTTTGCTAATGATCTATAAGGGGTGATAAATTGAAATGGCATCAGCACATTTTTTGCTTCGCTTGCAATTGTCACATACGTGTCTATTCCTCATGTCATCCACTCTTTATTATGTTTTTCAGGTATTTGTAATTCGGGAGAGACAGTAATGGAAAATATATGTTTTCGGTGTTCCTGTACTTTCACGCGATTCAGAGTTTGTTCTCCATTCCAACAATGCTTCGATAAAATAGGTTTGTATATATATATATACAGGTTATCCCACAATTCCCTCTACAAGCGATACCTTGGTTGATTTGAAATATATGAAGTTGAATTTCATCAATAAGTCCTCTTATATTATACACTGAGGAAAACTGGTTAATTAAAACGTCTAGTTGGTATTTTTTTAGTACCGATAATTAAAAATATTTGGAATTTTATTAACAATGACAACGTATCCTTATTTCCTACAAATGACTTTTCTATTTTTCGCCAATTATTTGTCATCAATAAAAATACTATTTGTGACAGAATTATCACAGTGTTGTCTATTCAGTCAATTAAAATTTCATAGTGGGGTTAAAAAACCTCATTGTGGGGTTACTAACAACAGCTGACTATTTGCCACAACTGATGACACATTTATCGTAAAAGGTTTATTATTATTCATAGCAGAAATTGTTTAGCCATAACTAATAATTTTAGTTGTACTGCGTCGTTCGGGACCGCCTCGCGTCTCTTCGGGACCCACCGGCAAAAATTGCATCTTGCATCTAGTTTGTCTTTCTGTTTCATCATTTGAACTTGTATCTTAATAGTGGATAGATCGCACGGTCGTCGAGCTTAGACAAAATAAATGAAATAATTGTCTAGTGTAGCCGGGAGCGTCGTGTTATTGCTGGTTCACTGCTCTGTGTGTTTTCAAATCACTGTTTTGTGTTTTTTTGCACTTCGCGCTGAGCCATTTGGCATTTGGTTGGCAAAATAATAATTCGCAGTTCACCATCGTTATCTGTGCGTCACTAGTTATCAGGTTTAGGTTAGGTACCTATTCACAATTCAGTTCAGTTTACGACGGGCGACGGTGAGAAACGTCCAACCGACGTCACGTGTACACGGTGTATATTTTTAATTGTGTGGTGTATTCCTGTTCACGATTCCATTGGAAATTGGAAGGAAAATGGCATACAAACTGTTATTATTAGAATGGGGCCTTGATTTTAATTGTTATAAAACTATTAAGTTGCCAGAATAACTAGATTATATTTCAAACGTTACTAAATCACTTTTAATAGTAACTTGATTCCATTTCAGTCACAATTAAATATTTAATTTGCAACAACACACTCACTATTAACGTCAGAAGAAATGAGTAATTGCCCCAACTGGGATAATTTGTTGTGATAACAAACATATATTGAAACAGTACTAAGGTACTAACAATCTAATTGTCATAACTATGTAACTTGATTGTGGCAAATAAAACTTGGTATTATTCATTAAAAAGGCTTATTACTTACCACAACAACGTCGTAGATGACTCAACTAAACATTTCATTTGAGGCAAATAGGCGTTTCCAGAAAAACAGAATTAGTTATGGCAACAACTAATGCTTGCTGTCCCCTATCGTACTAAAAAAATTTTCTGTAGTTACTAATTTTTTAGTAACAAGTGTTATAAACGTCATTTTAGTAACGAGTATTTCAAACAGGAGTGCAGCAGAGCGAAATGAGGAATACCTATGTAACTATTGATTGAATGAGTACATGTTTTTTAAGGGCATTTACTATGGTAGATTATCCTACGAATTTCAGAGCAGTCCTTATAAGGATATCGAAATATTGAATAAAATCTGTCAATGAAATTGTTTTTTATCGCCCTCTCACCGCTCAACGGTACATTTTTGTATAGACGTAAGTTGATTTCAATCGGCTATTTTGATCTCTAGTTCACCCTGTAGAATTTACCGTACGCTGTGATTTTGTCATTATGACGGCAAAAGAATTAACAATAATGACGTGACCGATCCACAGTCAAGCATTTTTTTCGGGTAGAAGTAAACTTGACGTTTATGATTCGATTTTTGTTGCAGATTCCTTCAGAAATATTCAATTTCCAACTAAATTCGAAATCATTTTTGTCCACATTTATAAAACCCACAGCTGACAAACCTAACTATCAATTCAAAGGCATTTGACCTTGATGAACAACAACAAAATTCCGCCTGCAGCGCATGTTTTCTTTTTGTTCCTTCGCGCCACGAATCACATCTCCATGGAACAGAGCTGTATACGCACCAGCAGCGACCTACCACTGTTCTATAGATAGGTATACTTCCACAGAAAATGTTTCTCAGAAATCTCTGCTATCATTCCAGCACTAGCAATACCAGTCAGACGAACTCGACAGGCCCAGCCAGTACATCCTTCCGTTATTAACCTTGAAATATGTCGAACAACACTCTACCGAAACTCGTTCGTCTATAGAACGGAATGATTCGAAATTCTCTGCCAATGGAAGTATTCCTTCAAAAGTGCATAAAAAGATACCAATACGTTCCTCCTCTTCCGATACACCCTAGGTACGCAAGATGTCCTTCGAACATCATAGGAATTCCCTTTCGTGCGCTCGAAGAGCTAGAAAACATGTACGAATTCTAAATATACAGATCTATCAAAATTTGCAGAAATAAATAATAGGTTGAGTATATTTCCGGTTGAACCAGAAGTACATATTATTAACGAACCTCTCCAATACTTTAGAAAGAATATTCACTTCCCCGCTAGCGAGTTCATTCCAGTTGAATTATCCGCCCTGTATATAATACCGCACTTTATTTCTAGAGAAAGAAGGTAAATGCCCAACTCATCAGAATGTATATCCAAGAATGCTGCAAGAAATTTGTACTTATGAGAGATATCAAGAATGTTACACCGACTATGGCTGCCCAGGAGCGAAAAAATGTTGCCCCGTAGTGGACTGTTTCCTAAGATGTGTGGATGCCATTTATTAATTGAAAATGTATGACTTGTCAATTGTCATCAATAATTGAATTATATGATTTAAGTGAAGACATCTCTCTATAGATATACCTATGCTCAATGCACCACAAATAACCCTTCCTTCCTTTGTTGTTATGCCGATTAAAAATTTAGATGTTGTTATACACCTACATTGATTTATGAATCCCAATTCAGCAAACAAATGTCAGACCAAATACCCAGATATTGATGAAATAAACCTCTGGTGTACGCACTTCAATCCTTTCCTGTTTTACAATTCCTTGATTTTCGCCTACTTCGATAAACATAACATGGCGTGGGTGAATGTCGCTAAATTTAGTCTGGTGCCGTACCAAAATTACAGGCATCAATGTGACAATTGTGACCGAATTGTGACCAATGAAGATAGGGAATACATTTTGCGATTTAGCCGCATCAAGGTTGGTAGAACTGATGTTGATCATAAGTTCTAAGAATCACGCCATCTAACATTCGATATGTGAACCCCACGTCATCGTCTGAAATTCAATTGTTTATATCAAGAACCAGTCTGACGAAACAAATGAAGAGTGAGCGCACCAGAGGTTTATTTCATCAATACCCAGATAGCCTTCGTATAATATCAACATCTGTGTGATGTAACACATTGTACCAATGCGATGTCTCGTTATAACATCTAACCAACGTAAATTTGATGACAAAGTCACAAGGTTACATCATGACTATGCAAATTTTTCATGTGGCAGCGACAACGGACAAACCACATTCAATCGATGTTAATTGGCATCGCAATAAGAAAGAACGTGGAGTCGCCATAATAGTAAAGTAATAAGTTACATACGAGAGTGGGTAGAAAGTAGGTCATTTTCTCAAAAATCTTGTCTTACAATGTTAGTGTTAGTATTTGGTTCAATCTGATGAATAGGCGAGTGGACTATTTATCTTTATTTCTCAAATAGAATCATCACTCATACACCTTTCAATTTCATATTTTTGAATTTTTCGGGCGATTTTTATGTGAGGACATTTGAATCGATGAACATGACAACAGTGCCGGATTTATATTCCCTTACGCCGGGGGCTAACTTTTACGATGCCGATGCGCCGCCGCCAAATATTTAATTTTCAATTGTCAGTTTCAAAATTCAAATAACCCTTTCACTGCTTTTTTTACAGCATATAACAATAACATGAAATCATTATGTACAACGAATCAAATTATATTTACTTCACACGTTAAACATAACAACAAACAACAGATATTTTTTTCAGATGAATACTAAAATAATTTTCTTGATTTTTTTGATGCAAAGTCGTCAATGGCATCATCAAAATTCAGATTTGATAACATCTCACTGTCAATACTTAAAATTGATAAGATATTCAATATACCCTAAGGTAGTTTTTCACTCTGAGAATGACCTTTCACCACTGGCATTACGAATCATCTTCTTTTTCGCGTATTGAATTTAAAAATAAATAAATCTTACCATTCCTGTCTTGAGATCGTGAATTTCCCGAAGACGGTTCTATTGGTTCTGATTTTGTCTCATTTGAATTTAGAAAAAATGAATGTATTTTAGGGCATTTCTTGACAACTTCGTCTAACTGATTTTGTTTATTAATCTTCTGCCGTTTCGAGAATGCACCACCTTTTTCACTAATTTTTTTAAATTCAAGTTTCGATTTAGTTATTATTAGTACCATTACCAACAATACCAAGAACAACCACTCTGATTTTGTTTTTTTGTTATTGAGTTAGACGAGTAGAATACGGTTTTTCTTCTCATCATCAAATAAAAGTATGTACCGCCGCCGCTTTTGTATTGTAGCGTCCAAGACCGTTACCATCGAGATTATCGATGGTAACGCCAAGACACAGCTGACCTAGATTAGTGCATGTTATGATTTTCACAAAAACAGTATCTCGACCAGTCAACGACTGTATTGCTGCTTGCTTTTCCTCTTTTCTCTTTTTCTCTACCGCCTCTTGAAATTCACCGCCGGGGGCTGATAGTCCCATAGCCCCCCCCACTAAATCCGGTACTGCATGACAACCCCGCGCACGACCTGTGGGCGTGGTCTTGTCAGTTCTCAGCATTCAGCAAAATGTTGCCGAGTCTCCATTATTCACATGATATTTTGTTATGGAGAATAAGAAATATTTGGACATGCTGGTTGCTCGAGAAAGTCAAGAATGAACTATAATGTAATGAGTTCCTCCTATTATATGTTTCATTCAACGACAGGACTCATACTTCTTTTTGATAACTTTTGGTTAAAATTTGATGACTTGACAACCTTGCTTTATTAGTGAAAATGCAAGATTATCTTACCAATTAGGAAACATAGGTCCAACCTTTTGCGAGCACTTCCGAATAAGAAAAAGAAAGCATGGAAACTGACGTCATCATTTATTCGACGTATCGCCAAATGGCGGCCCATGACGTTACGTTTGAAATGAGCTCTGAAATCCAACGATTTTGAACAACGCATAGACTTATTATTTACATAAAAAAAGCATGGAAAGTGTTGCAAACATTTATTTTGGTTCTTAACGGCACAGTGGAGTAATTGAATGCCAATAATTCATTATCAGTCCTCGCCCATTGATATAATGACTCAGCATTTTATTGTTATGTAAACAGAATGTCCATACTGATGAACATTGATTCAATTCTATGTAATTTCGAGTTAGATATGTGAGATTATGACGAAGGCAATCAACCAACATTTTTGTACATATTCAATTCTTGCTACGAATCGAGTTCTTCAGGATGAGTTTGAACCCAAAAATTAACTTCATTTTCATGAAATTATTTGATGACAATAAATTGCATCAAAATTATGTGAATGCAGTGTCAAGACTACTAAAGCTACGTACTCAAGTAGCTTCGGAGATGAAAACAGCTGATCCAGTTCCGATTGCGTCTCGGCTTCATGGAATTGCAGGGGTCGTTGGAATGGTGTTTCTCTTGATATAATTCCTCCCTCCTTAGAGAGATCCATACGGAGGGTGGATCGCCTATTGGCTATTCGTCTTCGTCGGTATCAATGGTCCTTGAGGGCATCTGGATATGTAGAGCTTTTATTTCTTTGAATGGATGTTGTTGTATCGATGGATGGTGATGCAGCTAAGGGTTGGCTTTTCCCCGGAGTCTTTCTCTGAGCATCTTTGATATCCAATATATTGCCAATATGGATAAGACAATATGAAGCGGTATTGTCCATTGGAATGACAAATCTTAGGGTGAATTCTTCATCGTATTTTGTTGAATTTTCGTCTGTTCTCTCTGTAGCCTATTTATTTGATCCAAGGGTACGTCGGGGAGGTGGAGTTCCTGTAGGATGACTTAGACTTGCTCTGGGGGTCTTCACTTCCGGTACATTGAGGAAAATTCCTATTACCCATAGTCAGAAATCGAATTACCCCAGCAAGAATTTCTAATAGCATTGGGGACAAGCGAGTTATGACCTGTGATTATAAAGTCGACCTTGCTGCCACTAGCGAGTGCATCTGTATATTGCTATTATACGATGTTTCTGTAGTAGTTATCTGACTTTGCTACCGCTACTGAGTGCATCCAATAATGGGAGTAGGGCAATGTTATAATCGTAGGTAGGGAACTTTGCTACTCTTGATGGGTGATCATCATATAGATAGTTGCATGACCTTCTTGCTGTAGTTATTCAGATATTCCAGGATTGTTGTCATTAAGAAAGGTGAAATTTTCACTGATATCCAATTTCACTTCTCATAATTTACCCCCTGATGTTTGGTATAAATAGCAATTTATTATTGATTCCTGAAGAAAATTTCGGACCAATGATCTTTAAAATTTAATAGATCAATTGATTCATGCACGCTCAGGAAGAACAAAAGGTTTTTGAGTAATTAATCGAAAAAGGAATTTTACTGAAACTTTCTGAAACCATTGTATTCCGAAAACTAGGCAAGTTATTAAAGATGCGTAGAGGAAAACAAAATGTTACCAGAAAAATCATTCAAATAATTTCATGACCTGAAAATTTTTGCTCACAATAAGTTTTTAGACCACATTCTATAGAGAAGCTCTAGAACATATTCGACAATTTCAAAGTTTCATGGAACCACGATGTTAATTCGTCGTCTTTTGAATCAAAGATTCGTCTGATATGGTCGAAAAATACTTTTTCCGTCGACCTCGTATTAACGACTAAGTTTAATGTATATGAAATCGTTCATTAATGACCCCTATTAATGGACGATTTGTCCATTAATGCACGATTGTTTTATAGGCAACCAAACATACACCGCGTGCATTCATTGTTTATGCTATAACTAGCGGAATCTGCATTTAAATCGAAAATATGGATTTCATCGACGATTTTCCGTTAACGGGTTCGCCTTTCCAAGTTTCTGACACGATTTCAATCCCTGTTTTCTAACAGAAGGAATTTATTTCCTATGTTGATCATTTCGACAAATGTCAAATGACACTAATGTCAGTAACAAGGCTACTGGGTGATTCTTAGCAGTTTCCGGATGGATGATGAATTCGCGAACCAAGTTTTCTTCATTGCAGGAGAAATAAGAAACATAGTCGACGGAAAAATTTTGTAACCAACTTGTATATTAAAAGGCGATTAATGATCTCGAACATTAACGCACTCGCTTCGCTCGCACGTTAAAATATCTCGATCATTAATCGTCCTCATTAATACACTAGTTGGTTAAATAACTATTTATTCCATAAAAATCACTGACAAGTAAAGTCACAATCATCAAAAATATTTCCACTTCACTGTCATCCAAAAAAAAAAAAACATCACCTTGCATAGGGTGATTTAAATAATAGAAATAATACAGGGCGGTCAAACATTCCTCCCCCCGTGAAAAAGATCAATCTTCTTTCACTTTTCATCATCTTCAACATCAATCCGACATAACTTCGTAACTGGACGCTTATATACCCCTGTAGCAGTTTTTACATCGGCTACCCGGATTCTGCCGTCTACGCCTGGATATACAGCCTCTACCTTTCCTAATTTCCAACTTCTACGTAGTGTGTTTTCATCTACCATAATCACAATATCGTTGATTCTGATCGGTTTACCATCAGTGGT